TTAATTTTTTTTCAGTCCTGACGAACCTTACAAAATCTGTTTGCTTAGTATAAATATAATCCTTCGAAATGAGTTGTAGCCAAAATTATATTTCGGTTATCATAATAACTCGGTGTTAACTCTATTTGATTTATTGCAAAAAAAAATATAGCCGATCCATTTAACGATGTGAATGTACCGTTAAACTTTAATAGAAAAAGTCAAAATTGAACCTAACGATGCAAAAATTAAAAACGGTGCTAAAATATAATTTATTTCATTTATACAAGATAAAAATGATTTCGTATTTATAGCTATGAATATCTTAAAGGAATCGTGACTTTGAATATCTGGTTAATATTTCGGGGATCTAAATCTAATAAACATGATATTATATTTGTTTTTATGTGATTGCATTGTTATTTTGTTATTTTATTGTATTTAAAATTTTCTGGTGCTTTTCCGTAAATGTGTTAAAGCATGTTTTACATTGGATATGTAGAAGCTACGCAATGCGTGAGTAGACGCTACGAAACTTTCTTAGCAATGATTTTGTTTGTATTTATATTTTTGTATTCGATTATATATTTGTAAATCAAATATGCAAAATCGAGCAAGTGGTAAACATCTTGACATCAAACTCTGTATTTATTTAGCACAATAATAACCTTCTGTACGTTCTTATTATATATGGAAAATCACAGAAACTGTTTCAAAGATTCGAGCCCTTTTTTAATTAATTCTAAGAATAAATTTAGTCTGCGATAGTTAACAGTTGAGGAAAACACGAAAGCCTTAGCGTTGTGTCTAATGTTCAGGGCACCTTTTAATGGTCTAGGTTTAATAAATCTAGTCTAAACGTCTAATGCATTCGTGTTGAACGATGCACCGGTGTTCGAATCTGTACTTAACAAATGTTCACGATTGAGTTCCACGATGAAGGAATAGCATCGTGTAATAAAAATCAAACCCGCAAAATTATAATTTGCGTAATTACTGGTGGTAGGACTTCTTGCGAGTCCGTACGGCTAGGTACCACTACCTGCCTATTTCTGCCGTGAAGCAGTAATACGTTTCTGTTTGAAGAGTGGAGCAGCCGTTGTAGCTATACTGAGACCTTAGAACTCGAATCTCAAGGTGGATGGTGGCATTTACGTTGTAGATGTCTATAGGCTCCGTTAACCACTTAACACCAGGTAGGGCTGTGAGCTCATCCACCATCTATGCAGTACTAAAAAAAGCAATCCCCCTACAAAATACGACGTTCGAAGAAGAAAACAAATTTCAAAGTATGTAAATGAATATCTACTTTATCATTAGTTTGGGGTATCTCTGTGAAATTATATTTGTCAAAGCCGTTGATTCTATTGTTGTCAGTTCTATTGTACTAAAAGACTTAACGTCTAAAACATTCCAATTACAATTTCTTTATTAATGTTACGGTAAAAAATATTACGGCACAAAATTAAGCACCGTGTCGCCATCCAACTCTCACGTTTGTGGTTCGTGGAATCAAACGTGCTGAGTTTGCGTTGATTCTGGTATCCATTGGAAAGGCACGCCTCTGCCCCACTATACCCACCTATCATAATACGTAATTATGCATTATACAAAATTACCATAGATGTGTTTAGAGTTGATAAACAGTTTATTTATTGACAAAAAACTGTTAATCTTAAGCAACTATGAAAGTATTTAATGAATGAAATCAATTATTTATAAATATTTCATTTTCTGGAGTTATGTAATTTCATATTTAGACTATTTAATTAATATTTAATTTATTGAAGTCAAAAAACGTGCTTTTCATAAGAGCTAAATAAACACATTCCATTGTAACACATTTCATAACTAATTTACTTAAATTGAGCTGTGTTTTATTTACATTGGTTCATTTATAGATTTTTGTTATTTAAACAAAAACAAGTTCCAACGACTAATTCCAATAAATTGTGGAATAAACCGTTAACATAGAAATCCAAAATATTGTTAAAAATGCTCTATTATTCTACACTACTACACATATTAATAAATCTTGGAGCTTACAGTCAATAAATACATTTTAGCTTTGTAAGTATGTTAATACTACATTGGTGAAAAGTAGCGAAAACTATATTAATTTTGTTCGATTTCAAATAGATTAAAAATTAAAATAAAGCTTTGATTGCAAACCGAAAATATAAAATAATATACTTTTATTTTATTTAGGGTATTAGGTAAAAAATGTAATATTATATATGCAAATTTTCGAGCTAATTGGACGACCTGAACTTTTTGATAATTACGTTGAAAGACTTCATTAGATTTAATATAGATAAATAGATGTGTACATGTCATGCTATTTTTTTCTAATGGAGCGTTATTAAATCAATCGGGTTGGTTTTTTATTCTTGAAAGTGTAGATTTACAAATGAGCCCACAGTGTACCTGGTTATAGATTACCAGAGGCTGTCTCCCAGGTTACAAGGTGACTCGCAAATGCACTGTAATGACAGTTATTCTGGAACGCGCGCTTGTTTTACTGTAGAGGGCAAAGTTAGTAGCTTGTTCAAAAAAAAAAAAACCACGGCTGTAGCGATAACAATATATTTAATTATTTTTTTTAATTTAATATAGTAGGACTATTTCGTGTGGCCTTAATTTTGAGTTTGTAGTTAGTATATAAAACTATCATAATCTTCAAGAAACTTATATGTAGGTGTCGATATAGACGCAGTGTGTGTCGATTTTAGTGATCAAAATAAAATAACGTATGTGATTGGCCATTGTCCTAGTTTAAATGTAATTTGTAAAATCACTATCAGTAAACAAGAAATAAAACACCGATCAACTGTTGTAATTTTCCCAGAATTTAATTACTGCTTGCCTTATAAACTTACCAGTAAGTACCTACCTAAATTTTTTCAACGTCATCCGTTATTTAAAACGAAAATTTACTTACAATTCAAATAATGCTACTGATTTTAATGCAGTATAGTATATAGTTTAAGATTATTGTATAATCAATTTAAGGTAATCTACCTATAATTAAGAAAAGAGTAGATTTTTTTTTATAAAAAATAGTTGATTTCATACTTTTTTTGACTACACAATCGATATAGAATACTGTTATTTTAAATCCTCACGTCTACTACATATATCATAAAAGTTTCACTATTTTAATTGCACAACTAATTACATTAATTCGTATTCAAAATTCATTATGTCAAATCAACTCTCTGTTTATAGTCTTCTCAAAAAACTATGAGGTAGTAAATTTGATCGTAAAATACATAGCTATGTTTTCGATACAATTATGTTTTCATGCTATAACTATATTATGTTAATTAAATACTTCATTAGTGTATTTCAAATTACAGATCTTTATAGACGTTCCTATTTCCAAGTGCTCGATATTAAAAGTAGACATGTTAGTGTTATACATATAAATGAGATGATAATTTTATCTACGGTTGGGTCATAAAATAAAACAAAAACTACGATTAAACTATTATTTGATTTAAATTTCGGGTTAATCTGGCATTTATTCGTGTTACAATAAAACAATAAACGATGTTTCTAATACGTATATAGTTATAGTATTCGTAGAATTTAAAGTTATGAAAGTGAGTTCAGTTGTGGCTTTGCGGCCATTAATGTGCTAATGTTCATACAGTATGTTGTATAGTCTATAAAATAAATATCAACACAAAAAATTAAACAATCATTTGTAATGTATTTGTGCAAGGTCCTAGCAGCTACAATCGTGAACCCTGACTGTGACTTTTAAACATGGAAACAAAGTAAGAGAAATGAGGTAAGTAAGGTATAGACGTACCTTTATGGCTTAGATATCACGTCTATATTTTTGTTTTAGTTTTTGATACCTGTAGTAGGTGTTGAGGCATAGATATATATATTTATTTGTGTGTAATTAAGAAGCAAACGGCAGGTAGTGATTATCAGGGTATACAGTTATACAATATTTTTTAAAATATTCTTATGATATACTGATCTTGTAACTTTGTTAAAGTGTGATGAAGTTAAGAAAATAGATGCTGATCAGACACTTCAATGCAAAACAAAAACGAAATAGGTACAAGTTCAAGTTCCAAAAGAATTAAAAAAGTAATGAAAATCCTGGCAAAATTTTAGTCAGTAACAGTTACATTAGGTATAATCTATCTTATTTATGCTTGAAGTAAAATATAATTAAAAAATAACGTATTTCAATTCAGTTTTGTGGTTATTTATCCAAAAGCTTTTTAGCTTAAGCAATAATATATGTAAAGTGAAATAATTTAATTTTATTATTGTTTTATTTTCCTTTCGCAAAAAACCTGCCTATAAAAATATTTATCGACAATTTCTTTACAAAATATTATGCTTTTAGTCACATTTTTACTTAAGATTATTTTTGAGCCCGGAAACTAAATAAATTACTTTTTTTTAAATTACGATACTAAGAGTATTAGAAAGTAAGGTACATACTCTTCTTGAGTATCTAAAGAGTTCCTTAACATTACGTGTCATTAGACTTCCGCGGTAAAGTGAAAGACAATGCGCTTGACCATCTTGGTTTTCGCTGGTTAGTGTCCGCTCGGTAGCGGCGCCGTAGACGTCGAGAACGCAAGGGCGCCGTGCGTCTTGCCGAAATTATTCGGGGCTCGCTGCACAATCGATTTTTCCCGCCCGATGCGGAAAATTCTTCGGGGCGGGGCGGGTGTAGATCGGTGGGAGAAGGGGGAGCGAGCCCCCCTACATTCGCATCGCCAGGGGGGCAGGTGGAGTGCAGCGGGGCGGTGCAACGCGCGCCGCCGTCCGGGCCGTCGGGCAGACAGTAGGACGGCGACGCCACTGAGAGTCGGTGACCACGGCGCGAAGAGCGCGTTCGCCGCACAGTGACATGTAGCGCGGCCGTCGCGCCGCAGCCCTGCGAAACACAGCCGGTGGCGGCGCGCCGATGCGCCTGCCGTCCGGCTTGACGCCGACGCCCGCGCCGAGATACCTTCACGCGTAATTTCCACCTTTAACCCATCATCGGTGTCACTCATACCGTGACGCCTGAAGCAAGCCCTTCAGCCCGTCTGTGTCGACGACAGTCGTCGGATGGAACCCGGAGTGCGCCGATTCGCATCAAGGTTAGACGAAATTTGAATGTGAGTGTTAGTGCGCCGCCCGCCGAACAATCAGTGCGGAGTTCGCCCTAGCGCAACCCTGTACAACAGCCGTACCTACGCACTTTAGACAACGATTGCTATAGGTAGGTCTAAAACACGTGAGAAGGTACTCAACAATGACTCATGTAAAATTACGCGACTTCGACACGTAAGTTTATGTAATTTCCCTATAAGAGAATCTTATGGTAGTTCTTGAGACGATCATAGTATGAATTGTTGTAGTCGGCTGAATTTCCCGCCCAAATATGAATCACAACGTCATCAAGCCTTGTTTGACTTCCTCTTTGTGAATTCTAGTGTTTTGTCTTTTTAAAACAGGGAAACTTAATATAAAATGCGCCAGTTGCATAATAGTACTAATGTGCTAATAATACTACAAGAAATCACTCTATTGAAACCGTTGTGCTGTTGTCGTTCTTGACGAGGCAGGTTAAAACGTTCACGTGTTTAAAATTTTTCACGTAATTTAGCAATTCACAGAACTCTATATAAACATTTTGTATAAATCGCTATGTCGTAGGCTGTAAATCCAATTTTATATAATTTATGGTTTTGACGTTATTTTAATTTAAGATGTAATTACGAGTAATAGTTTGCATTAAAAATAGTGCATAGTAAAATTCGTATTTTTCGTTTATTAAATCTATAATGCGTAATTATTACATAAATTGATATAGTCTTGTTAAAGAAAATCCCTTTCTTCAATAAAAAAACGCGACCTATTTAAGTAAATAAGTAATTTACTAATATTGGAATTCTGGCTAAGAATATTTTTTTACAATTAACTGTTATCCCTACTGTTGATAAGAATAAAGTTATGATTGATATTTTTTTCTCAGATGACTAGATAAAATTCTAACTTTAACATAGTTCTATTGTAATAAATTACTTAAGTTCCGCGATTGCAATATCGCTAATTTTGGAAAAAATCATAAATTGATTTGAAGTGGGATGAAATGTATAGTTATTGTGAAAATATTTATGTTATACTCGACGCATATAACGACGTTATAGTCGTCGTGGCCTAAAGGATAAGACGTCCGGTGCATTCGTGTTGAAGCGATGCACCGGTGTTCGAATCCCGCAGGCGGGTACCAATTTTTCTAATGAAATATGTACTCAACAAATGTTCACGATTGACTTCCACGGTGAAGGAATAACATCGTGTAATAAAAATCAAACCCGCAAAATTATAATTTGCGTAATTACTGGTGGTAGGACCTCTTGTGAGTCCGCGCGGATAGGTACCACCGCCCTGCTTATTTCTGCCGTGAAGCAGTAATGCGTTTCGGTTTGAAGGGTGGGGTAGCCGTTGTAACTATACTGAGACTTTAGAACTTGTATCTCAAGGTGGGTGGCGCGTCTACGTTGTAGATGTCTATGGGCTCCAGTAACCACTTAACATCAGGTGGGCTGTGAGCTCGTCCNAAAAAAAAAAAAAAAAAAAAAAAACGCTATTTTTCTTTAAGAAATATATTAGTTCAACCAAATTAATTCTGTAGTTAAAGCGCGTTGCTAGAACGAATAAACAATCCAAGAAACAGGCAAAAGTACAATGCATTATTTAACTTCAGTAACTAAGATCGTATTATTTTGTAATTATAAATTTTTATTTTGTTTTTGTAGGTTTTATTTCATTAGGTAGGTAGGCTTTGGTAGAATAAAATCATGCCGTAGGTTTTATATTACCGTCATATAGAAGGTAGCTTCATAAAAGCATTTAACATACACGCTAGTTACATATTTTACAATTTATTGTATGCCTACATAAAATTGCAAAAATTGATAAAAACACATACAAATGCGAACTTATCTATCTTCTATCTATATATTATTATTTAAGAATGAATTGCTGTTCGTTAGTCTCGCTAAAACTCGAGAACGGCTGGACCGATTTGGCTAACTTTGGTCTTGAATCATTTGTCGAAGCCCAGGGAAGGTTTAAAAGGTAGATAAATATGAAAATGCTCGGAATTAAATAAAAATAACAATTTTGTTTTCATTTTGATGTGTCTCCCGTCGGACGGATTCCTTTTGTTTGTTTTAAGTTTATTTTATACAAAAGTTTAAGTCTTTTATTTATCGATTGAGGCACTACGAAGTCTGCCGGGTCAGCTAGTAGGTAATACAATATAACTTGGAGTTTTATGATTTTTTTTATTATTTTGAAGTACGGGATGGCATTTTGATAAATATTTCAATAAATTATAGCTCAAAATATCAAGCTCGTATTTATGAAATGTACGCTTAAATCATACAGTTAAGCGTAATTGTGTAAATTGTTCACCATTACTTTGTAGAATTAACTCATGCGGAACATTGCATTGCTGACTTTTTGTCTCATTCTCATACGTACTCATTATAATATTTTTTTTTGCTGACATGCAATTTTATTAAGGCTTTGACCTCATGTCTCAAATGGTACCTGCGTGCGGGATTCGAACTAGCTGCACAGCTGCATGTTCGATTTAATATAAAGGACATGTTATCCGTTAAGCTTCGATTATTTAAATACCATTAAAAGTTTTATAATAAACTATTTACTGGTTTAACGTACCTACTGTTTAAATCATGGTGAAAATTTTTATTTCTATAAATTTAATTAAAACGGGTCATGATCGTTATACACTCACATAAAATACAAATTTAAATAGCCATATTATACTTTTTTTAAACTTGACGCTAAAGTTATTAATATTTCACGTTTGTTACTACGGTTATTATTTATATGAGCTAGTTTGCGCTATAAAAACAAGTTATAGCTCAGGTACGCATAATATATTTTCATTAGAACGCTACGAAGAAACTCTCTTGGAGAGAAACAAATATTTGGTACCTATATACTTCGTAAATAAATAACAAAGACACAGAAACAAGTGTAGCATACAGTGGTCAAGTTTAAAATATTCCAAAAGAAAGAATTATGTTAATATTTTCAGGTTTGATTTTTCCTATTGTATCTTTATTTTATTTAGGTAATACCTACTATGTCGCGATAGAGATCCTAGTAATTGCGCGGAGTACAACAAAAATGACATAATAATTTTTTCTAGTTATATATGTTCATATATCTATCAGCTTTGTTATAATCGTTTCACTACCTAATAAATAGTGAAAATTCAATGTTTATTAGTATAAATTAAAGCTTGTTGGCAGATTTTAAATGTCATTTATCTTTTAGTACCTATGCAATAAAGTATGCTATTTGTCTCCCCTATCGGGAATTAATGTTTTCAAGTAATGCTTCAAACATTACTTTACTAAATTAAATAAAGTTAATAGTTTCATTTATTAAAAATAGGTAAATAAATACTAATAATAAAGCAATTAAACAGTATAATATGAGATGAAAATTAATTTAATATAGAAAGCAGAAAGGTTTTTTTAAAGTTTAAAAATCTTCCTTTCTTTTGTAATAGACATCAAAATAGTGAGTATAGCTAAGAAGCTATCAATCGCTTAGGAGTCTTTTCAAAACGAATTGGATGAATAATATGTTACTGCGCCGAGTAAACATAGTGCAGGAGAGTTAATGCTTTGTTAATGCAAAAACGATGAGTAAGTACGTTACCAAGGTTTCTTAAAACTCATATTGGACTTTAGTTATACCTCCCAAATGACGCTAATACTGGACAATCTCCGAAATATAGACTCCAAGATCCTCAGTACCCTTGGACGGTTGCAGAGAGACACCTTAAAATTTTGGCATCAAGAGAAACGTGTACTTGGATTGTTTCTGGACTAAATTCGATTAACTCCATTTTCCCTAAAGAGTTTTCCAATTGAAACACTAATTTCTGACGTCTTTCCTGAACCACGCATCCGAACTTCGAGGAATGACAGAGGTTAGGATTTTAAGGATAGGATTTTTACACAAACCTGTATAGTGTAGAATATTTAAGTAGTCGTGGCAGAATAGATGACGTCCGATGTACTTAAGTGAAATGTTGCGTCAAATTTTATCGACTTCACAGCAATCGTTTTTATTTCAAAATTAAACAATAATTAAATAGGACATCAATGTGTTCAACGACTTATCATTTATTAGAAAAACAGTATAAATCCCACTACACAAGTGCAATTTCAATATTACATTACGGACAAACATTTAAATCAGCTTTAAGGTATGAAGAATAATGGTTAACTAATTAGAAACAACAACAAAATAGTATGAAAAACAATATTTTTCTAAATATTAGTAATTAATACCTATTGTAATTTACGAAATAGCTACTATCCACAGCCTACCAATAGTTATAATTCATATTTAGTGGCGTATGTCGTATTTTCAATAACAGCACTGCAACGACGTGGATTAATTCAATTAATTTCATACATTTTTCTAGGGGGGATTGAATTCCATGCTTCAACAAATGCTTCATATACATATATAAGTAGTTCGTTTTGAATAGTGTTGCGTTTGTTTGAGCCTTTCTTTTTAACAATATACCAGAGATTGTCTATCGAGCTTAATTCCGGACTATTTGCTGGCCAGTCTAAAGTGGATATACAGTGTTCGCTAAGGCAACATTTGACGCTATTAGCCGCGTCTATTGTCATTGTCATGCTGAAAGATTCAGGCAAATGATCGTCCGAGTAGGGAATCATTGTGTGTTCAAAGTTATATTTGTATTGTCATTGATCAGTTATACCTTCAATATTCCGAACGGGTCCAACTACACTTCCGGAAAAAACACCCACATACTTTAATATTACCGCGTTATCCTTCTGCATTTACAATTAAAAGATTTGTTTACAGGACGTCTAACATAGCGCTTTACATCGGAATTTACCATATTTTTTTTGTTTCATCTGAAAATTACACTTTCTTCCAATCTCGTACCGTCTTCGTATCTTTTTTATCTTCTTTTGGTGTTGCTTGGTAAGAAGCGGTACCTTTCGAGTTCTTCCAAACAATTTAGCTTCCACTAATCTTCGGCGTATCTGTCTTGACGAGATGT